TCTCAGGGCACATTTTTGGATGTTTTAACATGGAAAATAGGGTCATTCAAAAGCATTTTGAAGTTTTTTACGAAACCATGCAACCCATTGTGGCATTATATATTTGTAGAGTAAATGAAGGTGACTTTAAAACATTTTATAGTTTATAAAACTATAAAAATTATAAAACTGTAAAATTAAGGTGACTTAAAATATTTTTATAGTTTATAAAACTATAAACGTAATAGATACATACTCATCTGCTTAAAAAGTCCAATATACACAAGTGTATAAATTAAAAAGAACAAGTTCTCTCTCGTCCTACAAAGGCAACACCACTGTTAACAGTTTGGTGTGTATTTCTCCCAACTTCTCTCTGTACACTGACTATATGTATATTTTAATAATTTTTTTTTTTTTTCCCCAGAGAAGGGAAGCTACATGCTGTTCTCCAACCTGCTTCTTTTCATGTAGGGGTGAATCCTGGGTGTCAAGAATGGTAACGTTTGCAAACTCTTTTTTAACTGTTTGTTTCTGTTTGAAGATGCACCCGAAGACATAAATCCTTGGAATCAGCCGGAAGGAATGGGGCCAATATGGTGGGTGCACGGAAGTGCGAGGGAAACGTACCCCATCTCCTGAGTAGTGGGGTTCCGGCAGGTCCACCTGCTGAAGTACCCCCTCCCTTCCATGGGAGCCTGCCGGGAGGAAGGCCCGTTTTCTCCGGTGGCTCTGATGTCCAGCCATGCCTAAGGACGAAGTCTTGCTCTCCTGGGACATCTTCCCAACAGTGCCCCACAGGCAGAGGGGCTCTCTGCAGCCAAGGCAGAGGGGCGCTTCAAGGCCGTCTGGACTGAGGGTTTGCACTCCCCGAACGAGCCCAGTTCTGGAGGCCTCCCCGCACCAAGCCTTGTGTCCTAGCTGGGCTACATCTCTCCAGAGAAAGGGGCCATTTTGCCTCCCTGCAGAGGCACTCTCTGCTCAGCCAAGCCCCTGGGGGCCACATCTGCCTGAAGGGGCTTCTTATGAGTTAGCCCAGAAGCACTGTGAGGACTCTCCAGGCCCTGGCAGTCCTGCCTGGCATGGCTTCAGGAGGCTCTGGATGGGTCTGCCCTTGGGGAGCCCTAACTTAGGGGGTCGGGTCTTCCCAAGCATCTTTCGGGGCCACCCTTGAGCTGCTCTGCTAGGCTCGGGGACGAACTGAGTTCTGGGAGGGTGGCCGGGTAGCAGTTTTCTTGAATAGAATCCATTCTGTGTTCATTCGACAAATATTTGAGGCTCTACCATATGCCAAGGCCTGTTGTAGCTCTGGAAATAGGCAGAACAGGACAGACAAGGTCCTGTCTTTGTGGAGCTGGCATTCTAGTTGGGGGAAGCCAGACAGGGAACAAGTAAAATAAGTAAACAAGACCATTTTCCAGAGTGTGCTAGGAGGAAAATAGAACGCACAATGGCCTCAGGAGTGATGGGGGAGGGGTGGCTACTGTGCAACTCGGGCCTCAGAGGAAGCTCCTGGGGAATGTGAGAGAATGTGAGAGACTCTGAGAGACTGTGAGACTGAGATGACAGGGAAGGAATTGCTCCAACATCAGGAAGGAGCTTCCAAGGAGCCGGCAGAGCAAAGCGCAACGCCTGGAGGCTGGGAGATGCTAAGCTTAGCACACAGCAGACTGGGGAGCGGGGAGGAGTGAGGAGTCCGAGGCCCTAAGAGAGGTGAGGGCCGAATCACGCGGGGCCTCACGGCCACGTTGGGACATTCACTGCACCTCTCCTGGAAGGCGGGGTGGGGGTGGGGGTCACAGGGGTTGACAGAGGTGAGGGACATGGACTGCATGCACATCTAATGGGAAACTCGGCTGTTCTGTGAGGAGAGTTGGGGGTCAAGGAGGTAGGGAGGGTGGCAGGGAGACCGGTTAGAGGCTGCTGCGGTGGGGGAGGGGGGCCACTGGAACCAGGATGTCTGCGGTGAGAGGGAGAAAAGGGCTGAACTGGGGACACAAGGTTGGAATTATTGCTGACAGACGTGTCTTCCAACAGAAGTAGAGCCAGGGGCCTCCAGACAAGGCCGGGAGCACTGGCGTCTCTGCCCTCCTGCTCATGTGGAATGAGTGTGGCCCCCTCCACGGTGCCGAGACCCTGCCGGGCAGACCCCCAGGACCATTCTTAGACTCATGAACGAGGCTCCCACTCATGCCCTCCTCTTGCTGCTCCCTTCCCTCAGGGTGAGGAGCCTACTGGACAAGAAACGCCATGCCCAGACAGCCCTGAGCCAGCTGCCTTGGCCTACGTGGGCCCTTTCACCAGGCATTCAGCAGTGGGCACACTCATCAAGGGGAGACAGGAAGGCAGCAGTTTTCAGGGGGGGGGCGGCAGTGTTGGAGGCCTGTGCTGGGAACCTACTCCCACCTGACTAAGGACCCCTCCAGTGGAGGATGGCACCAGGAAGGAAGAGAAGGAGGCGGTGGCCCTCCCGGCACCATGTCCCAGAGTCAACTTCTAAATTCAAACCTGGCCTTCCAGGACATGACAAAGATTTATTTGTCAAGGCAGAAAGGTAGAACGTATTTTATCTACCAGTCTGTTCGTTTGACTGATAACTTTTGGTATTTAAACAGATGGTATGTGGACTGCCATTTGTATTCTTGTCCCAGATCCCACAAGAATGTGCAATGGGCCTGCCCACATCCACTGCTTGCTTCCTACAGTGTTCTCCAAATACTGGATGGGGAGTTCCGGGGTCCATCAGCTACCAACGGAGTTTTCTAACAAAACAGAATATAAGACTTTCCTTGCTTTGCTGAACAAAATTAAGATAATGGATAGAATTCTCTGAATTTTCTTTTCTTTTTTTTTTTCTTTTTTTAATTTTTTTTTTCAACGTTTATTTATTTTTGGGACAGAGAGAGACAGAGCATGAACGGGCGAGGGGCAGAGAGAGAGGGAGACACAGAATCTGAAACAGGCTCCAGGCTCTGAGCCATCAGCCCAGAGCCCGACGCGGGGCTCGAACTCACGGACCGCGAGATCGTGACCTGGCTGAAGTCGGACGCTTAACCGACTGCGCCACCCAGGCGCCCCTGAATTTTCATTTTTGACTCAGTTTTCTTTTTCTAAATTTTTTTACTGCCTGCTACTGCTTATCTGTTGGTAAGTTGCAAGCAAATGAGATAAACAAACAAGGCGGAAAAATCCATACATACATGACAGTAAATGAAACTTCAGAGAAAGCTGGAAACAGTTGATTCTGATGAATCTGACAGTAGGGGCCTTTTATGGATCTGAGTACTCATGGTTATGGTTTTATATGGTACACATATAATACAGTGACATTTCCTAACAGTTAAAGAATTTCCAGTTCATGGTATTGCGATTATGCCCAGTAATGTTCTGTATGACTTCTAAGTGCCTTTGCCCGAGAACCAGCTGAGAATGCACTATAGTGAATTATTGCCCCCAGTTTACAGAAAAGAAGACAGAGGCTCAGAGAAATTCAACTTGCCCGAGATCACCCGGCTAGTAAATGGTGGGTGAGAGATTTTAACTGGCCTCCTGGTGAGCTAGGATGTACAATCTACTGAGGAATAAAAATGGTTTCCCCAAGTGTCCAGAGGCTATTGGTAAGAAACACAAGACTCTTGATCGACTGTTCATTGGGTGCATCTGCTGTACCCACCAATATCTAAAACATAAAAATGAATTAGTATAAAACTCATTAGCCAGTGCATTTATCATAAAAAGTAACTTGCATTCTGTTTTGTGTGTCTAAGTTTTAGGAAGGTCTTTAAGAGCATTTTATTAAAACACTGTATTAGACATATTGTATGAGATTCTCATGCTCCCTAGTCAGAGCACAAACCGCGCCTGGAAAGTATAGCGTTCTTGTCTTTTGTCTTTTCTTAGTCCTTATTTATTATCTTAATGAGTCCTGCTTTGGAGTGACCAATCTCCTATCCATTAAGCTTTCGATAAAGCTAGAAAACTTAAAGTTGGTTCCCGTCTTGCTCTTCAGAATTTGATGAACTCTCAAACTTATATACGAATTCTTTTGTATGCATTGCATTAGGAAGGTTGAATCAAAGTACAACAAAAAAATTTCCCAGGCCTCCGTTTGTCTCCTCAGAATGGTTAACCCTGGGAATGACCCTGGAATCAGGCTCCATCCCAGGGGACCCAACCCTCAGCACCACAATGCATGGAGGTGGGAGCTCCCCTCTCCCCACCGGACCAGCCCTCCCCCAGCTCAGAAGAGCCTCCTCTTGTGAGCTGGCTGGAGCACAATTCACACCTATGAAATGCATTTTCACTTCTGTTGCTGATTTTCTCCTTTGTAAAAAGTAGAGCCAGAGCTTCCTCTCCTCTCCCCCGGCCCCTGCAGTGGCAGAAGCCAGGCCCTGGTGAGCCTGCAGCCTGTGGGACTTGGGGTGGGTCCCGGTCCCGAGGCCCCGCCTGCTGAGCACATTGAGGCCAAGGCACTTGGAGAGTTCTCCCTCAGGGCTCTCCTCGGGAACTGCCAAGTGTCATAAATTAAGACAAAAAAGAAGGATAGTAAAGGTGGTCAGAGAGAGGATTTATGCGCTTCTCTTATTACTGGCTCCATGTCAGTTGAGCGGGAGCCACACAGCCATCTCCCCCCCAAGGGAGTCCAGCCAAATGCTGACTGCCCACGCATCCTATCAGGCCACAACCCCCTGCCAGCTGTGGGCACCTCCCATGGAAAGTGGTTCCACAACCCTGGGGTCTCACCCAGGACCTAGAGCCAATTCTTGCATCAGGGCTTGGACAGCTCCGGGACACTCCTGCACCGCAGACCCACAGACCACTACCTGCCCCCGAATCGCTTCCTTCCATCCCCTAGATGTTCTCTTAGACCTCAAAGGGAAAACTAAAATATGGCAGGTAGGTCCTGGCGGCTGTTCCTGGCCGACTGCCCTTTTCTCCAGAGCCACAAAGCGGGCAGGCGGGTGTCCTGCAGCTGACCCCAAGGGGCTTGGAGGAGATCCTCTATTTTCTCTGTGCTACGTATGTCGGCGGATGGTACCCCCAGACAAAAGCCAGGCATTCAGCCCCCACCCAGACCCCAAGTCCTGACATTCAAATCCATCCCTGTCCTCCACCCCCACCTGGGGCCTCAGGTCTCCATCGCTTTTCATCTGGTCCACCCTCCCCTGCCCAGCCTCTACCACAGTGCCCTTTCAGGAACTCAAATTGGATCACAGTGCTTGCCTGCTGAAAGCTGGACAGCCAAAGCCTTTGAGATGGCTCTCTCCTTCACTGGGAGTGGCCTTGGCCATGAACCCAGCCCTGTCTGTGGATCCAGCCTTATCTAGGCCCCTCCCCAGCAATCCCTGCACTCCAGCCCGCCACACATCTTGTCCTTTGTTATCAGAACATGCCAGGCACTCACTCGCAGCCTCTCCACCTTTGCACCTGCCGTTCCGTCTGCCCATCCTTCCAGCAAATTCCTGCTCATCCTTCAAGGTGCAGCTCAAAGGTCTACTCCTGCATGAAACCCTCTCTCACCACCTGTCTTGGCTCGTAAGACAAGTGCCATAACAAAATACCATAGACTGTGTGGCTTAAACAACAGCCATTCATATTCTCACAGTTCTGGAGACTGGAAGCTGCAGACAAGGATGCTAGCTAGCATGGTTGGACTCTGGTGAGAGCTCTCTTCCGGGCCTGCACACTCTGCCTTCTCTCTGTGTCCTCACATGGCAGAGGGAGGAAGGGAGGCAGGAAGGGACAGAGAGAGAGAGAGAGATTTCCTTCTTTTCTTATAAGGCCTATCAAATTAGAACCCCAACCTTACTTCATTTAATCTTATTACCTCCTAAAAACTGCATCTCAGAATACAGTCATACTGGGGATAGGGCTTCGACATATGAATGGGGGGGGGGGTCACAATTTAGCCCAGAATACCTCCCCAGACAAAGGTGGCTGCTGCTTCTCTTTGAGCCCCGTATTCACCAGGGGAGGGTGTCCCTTTCCCTCCCCAACCAGGGGAGGTTTTGGAGTCACCTGTCCTGTGGGAAGGCCACTGTCTCCGAGCAGACCTTGTGAGCCGACCTATCTCCTGCCCAGAGCTCTGAGAGGGCGGGAGCCGCCTCTCACTCATCCAGGGGCCCTGAGCACCTTGCACAGAGCAGGCCTCCTGGGGAGAATTCTGGTTCCGCTGTGAGGACCCGTGGCACTGGATGTGGGCCCCGCTTGGTGCCCCCGTTACCCCTACACGCCCTTATCGATCAGGCCTTATTCCTCTGCTGTCCAGAAAGCCTCTGTGGTTTCCTCCCATCCTAAGAGGTCACATTCTTGCCGCCTGTGCTGGAAACAGCAACCCTGCGCAGTAGACCAGGTGTCCATGCTAGGAACAGGACACTCTCAGGAGCTTGTGCTTTGCTGCTACCCTGCCACCGGCTGTTATTTTTAGCACTCACTGCAGAAAAAAAAAAAAAAAAACCTGAAAATCTCACTGCATGTGTTCAGGTTTCTTCCAGGTCTCCTCAGGGGCCTGGTGCAGAAATGGGTCCTGCCTCTGGCCCAGAGAGCTGCTCCGGGCTCACAGAGGTTATTTATTTAATATATTTACTTTTACTCCCAGGCCAAAAGCTTAAAATATCTTGTGTATGAGCCCTGGACCAAAAAAATGAAGCAGTTGGGCCATTAATCATTGGGAATATGTTGAATAGGAACTTGATTAAAGCACAGTATGTGTTCCCCAGACGAAGCTGCTTCTTTACAGTGACCACAGTGGAAGCTTGGCCTCCCGGGGCCGGCTGTGCTTTTGTGGGGCGCCTCCTTGAGGGCTCCGGGGAGGGCTCTGGCGCCTTGCCAGGCTCTGGAAGGCCGCCGTCTGCGAGGGGGTCTTGACCTGCGCAGCCCCGCTTTTCTCAAACAGGGACACCTCCGACCAACACCCAGACGGTGTCGGGCTCCAGCGCACAATCTTAAGGGGCGGTGGGGGGTAGAGGCAGGAGCGAACTGCCGGCCCAGGAGGCTCCCAGTGCAGTCCGGCTGCGCCCCTGGCCCGCCGGCGATCCCGGTATAGAACCAGCGAGGCGCCACGTGGCTGGAAGACGCGCTGCCTTAAACCCCTTCCTTCGGCTGCAGTGAATGCGGAGGAGGCGCCCAAGGGGCACCGGGGCCTGGCCGCCTTGTTCCCCAAGATCCCCGGAACACAGCGCCCTGCGTACCACTCGGCAGGGTTTTCCCGGTAGGTGATGGGACTCTCGGACGCCAAGATTCCCGAGGCCCCGGCTCCTTTGACACCTGCCCGGCCCTGAGCCCAATCTGGGACGGGGTGATGCTGTGTAGTGGCCTTATCCTGATTGGGATCCCGGTCCCGGAGTCAAATTCTCCGCCTCCCTCTATGCGCCCCACCTCGCCCCGGTACCCCAGCCCTGGAATCCAGCTCGGCCCGTCCCGCAGGAAAAAAAAAAAAAAAAAAAAAAATTGGCGGCCGAGAGCCGGGTAGCAGCGCCAGCCCCGCGCCTAGCAACCCTAGCGCTCCGGCTAGGAGAAGTAATTAAAAAGAAAAAGTTTTCCAAGCCTTGGGCGGATGGACCGGCTGGTCCTTCCAGGCTTTGTGGTGGTCGTGAAGCTGCCTCCCATTCCCCACATACAGGCCATAAGCCTCCTGTGGGTCCTAGTGCCCGGCGCTGTAGAGCCCTTGGGACCCCAGAGGGCTTCGAGAGACGGAGCGGGGGAGAGGGTATTTCGTGGAATCAGGTCAGAGATCAGAGATAGAGACAAAATTGACAAGTCTGCAGGACGCTGCCCGCCTCCATACATGCAGCTGCATGCGCTGGGCCAGTACGTCCCAAGCTGCTCTGCTCCCCCACCCCCCCCCTTGCCCTTCTCCGCAGCTCTACGCTGAGACCTGGCCCCTGAAAAGGACGATTTTGGCTTTTAAAGCGAGCTCATTCACAGTAACTCAGAGACCACATAGAGTGGCCCCTCCACCAGCCTCATACACACCCCCCCTCCTCCGCGCAGCAGCGTCTCGGTGCTCCTGGCTCCCCTGACCGTTGGCTGCAAGTGCGCGGTGCCTCGGGGAAGTTAGAGGAGGGGGGGGTCTCCCTGGGTCACCGACCATGCGTGCGGGGGCGACAACCTCGGCCCAGGGTGGGGCAGCATGCGCGTCCGGGTTCGGCTGGCGGGGCAGGGTGGGCGCTGGAGTTGGGTTCTTCCTGGTCGGTGCGCTGCTCTGTCTCACCACCGCCCTCCGGAAGGTGGCAGGTGCATAAGACCCGAGTGCCGCTCCGCCGTCGGACACTAGAGGGCGAAGGCCGCCCCAGGTTGGGGGCTGTGGGTCCGGAGCGCGTCAATATTATGCACCGGGGAGCTGCGTGCGCGAGGGAGTCGGCTCCGGGTGGTCGGCTGGCAGCATTAGCGCCCCGCGCAGGCTGGAGTGCGTCGCTTGGAGGCTCGCCATGCTGGGAGGATCTAGTTCTCCCATGGAGCCGGCTGATCTCTACGAGGCAGGAGCCACCGATGAGCAGGTAGCCACACCACAGTTCCCCTTCTGCACGCGCCAGCAGTGCCGCCTTTCCCTGGCGCGGGCTCCGCGCAGCCCCCCACCCCAGCCGTTGCCCCAGAGCCGCTGGCGGCATCTGCGAATCACGAGACGTCCATCGACATCAGCGCCTACATCGACCCGGCCGTTTCAACGACGAGTTCCTGGCCGACCGTTCCAGCACAGCCGGCAGGAGAAGGCTGCGGCTGGTGTGGCCTCTCGCAGGAGCTGGCAGGCGGTGACTTTGATCACACGGGCGCCCCTGGCTCCCGCTGGCGGCGCCGGATGCCGGAGGGACGCACGGCCTCCTCCTGGCTACGGCTCGCGCCGCGGCTGCCACTGCTTCCCCTGTACGAGCGTCGGGCGCCGAAGGCGTTGTGGGGCCGCTGGCGATCAAGAGAGCTGCGCGAGGAGGACGAGGCGAAGCAGCTGGCGCTGGCCGGCTTCCCCACTGGCCGCCGCCGCCGCCGCCGCAGCACCCGCACCCACCGCCCGCGCACTGGCCGCCTCACCTGTGCAGTTCCAGATCGGCAGGTTCGCGCGGCCAGACCACCATGCACTCTGCAGCTGGCTACACCCCGCACGCCGCTGCCCACGCCCGTGCCCAGTTCTCACCCACCGGTTTCCCGAAAGCTGCTGGTTTAGCCAGGCCCCGGCGCGCTCAAGGCTGGCGTCGCGCACCCCGACCTCCGCGCGGGCGGCGGCAGGCGGCGGCGGCGGCGCGGGCAAAGTCACAGTCGGTGAAGAACAGCAACGAGTACCGGGTGCGCGAGCGCAACAACAATACCTGCGGTGCAAAAGAGCCGACATCAAGGCCACAGCGCAACGTGGAGACACAGCAGCTAAGGTGTGCCGGAGCGACCAGTGACAATGACCGCGCGCGGGTGGAACAACTGAGCCGCGAACTGGACACGGGCATCTTCCGCCAGTTCCGACTTCGGTCACATGGGCAACTGCGCGTGAGACGCGGGCGAGTGGGACCGCCTCTGGCCGTCACGCTGGCTGGGACCCAGGGCGGTTTCGTCTCCTCGATCTCAAGACTGCCCCAGCAGTCGACCAGGAGTCACGGTGCCGCCAGAGCCTGGCCTGCTGCGCGCGCGCCCTTGCCTTCCTGCGCCAGGGATTCGGCTCTAAGATGAGGGGTCAGGCAGTGGCTTTCTCCCCGCCGGGAGAGGAGAGAAGTGCCATGTACCAGCCACGCAGCCCGGGTGCCCAGTATTAAGAAATAAACTTGTGCCTTGGAAACGCAAACTCACTGCCTGACGCAATGAGTAGGTGGAGCAAATACGTGCCTTGTCATTTATTTGGAGGGTCTGCCCCCACCCTGAGGCCGCAGGCCCTCCATGAGAGAAGGCAATGTGCGGCCTAAGTGGCAGGAGAAAGCGTTCAGGAGCAGGGATCCCAAATGCCGTGTGGCCCCAGTCACCCTCACCTGTCCTCGAGGGGAGGAGATACAGGACTTGGAACGTTGTTCCTCCCATGAAGGTGAGGTCCCTTCCTTGCCTTTCAATCTCCCAGCGACAGGCTGGCTTCCTGGGCAGAACCCATTGAGATGGGGTCACCAGGTGACCAGTGGGAGCCCCCTGCCCCTGTGTCAGATCACTGTAGAAAGTCAGGTCATAGTATTGGGGCCACATGTGTTCATGGGAGTAGGTGGCCTGGTGAGAAACCCAGAGACTGGTCGGGGGTGGTGAAGGGACATTGGGACATCAGCTCCTAGAAATTGGGAAGGGCAGTATTGCCACAAAACATGAAGCACACCCGTCCATCCCAGAGGGACCTGTTGCGAGAAGCTTTCCAAAATATTTTGCTTTATCAGCCGATATCAACACTTGTATCTGGCCTTCTCTGTGTCCCATGCCTTGAGCATGAATGTGCACGTCTATGCTAAAAACCAATTATTTTATTTGGTTTTGTTTTGTTTTGGTTTTGCTCAGATACTTGAAAAAGAGACTCTTTTGTCAGCAGCTGCAGGGAGGGTTCAAGTGCCTCTTTCCTTTGTTTTTGGGATTGCTTTTTGCTCCAAGGGAACCAAAGAGGTGAGGGTGGGCTTCCCCTTTCCTGCAGATGAAGGGGGTGAGGCTATGGCCTCACTCCCTGGCCTGGCTGGCCACAAAATAGGTTGCCCCTCCCCCACCAGAGGCCCTGGCAGGTCTGAGGGAGGCGGCCTCCAGCCAGCACATGCACAACAGAGATCGGCGGGCTGGGAGTTAGGGAAGGACAGTTTGGTTCTTTGGGAGAACGTGAGAGTTCATGCTAGATGTTTTATGTATTATATCTATAATATAAACATATCAAAGTAAATGTTGGTGTCTTTTTAAAACCTGGTGCTACTTCCAAGGTTTTCAGGGCTAGGTCAGAAAATAATCACGGCATATTCTCTGGCTGAGATCCTGCCTTTCATTAGCTCTCCCATCCATTCTTCTTGAGCATTAAGGGGGTGACTTCTCCCAACCGAGGGCAAACAAAGGGCAGAAGGAGGATAGACTCCAAGCCGAGAAAGCCCAAAGCCTGAAGAGAGAGTCCCCTGGGGGCTGGCGGGGAGAGGTTGAGGGGGAGGTCATAGGGCTGGTGTGTGGCCTGGATCAGGCCCTGGAGAGCAGAGGGGCTCAGGAGATAACCCTTCGGCTCCTGAAGTTGCCACAGGTCGGGATTTGAATAGGCCTCGGCCACCCAGTAGCCCAGGCCCTTGTGGGGTCCCCTGGCCACATTTGTCAGCCATCACCTGCTGCCCCAGTTTTCCCCCATAGCAGCCTCACCATGCCTGGCCTGCCCTAGCCCACCAGCAGGACCCTGGGAAGGCAGGGAGAGGCCTCGAGGGGTAGGCCCCTCTACCCCTCCCCACTTGCTCTGGGTCACGAGGCTGCAGTCTACCCCGGCAGGGCCCTGAAGGGCAGCCTGAAGGCCGAGCACCCCTCCATCCCTTCTTCCATACCTGCCCTGCCCCAACCCACCCCAGGGAGGGGGCCCACGCCATCCCTGCAGTGGCTGTGTGGTCCCTCACCCACACCACCTGGCAAAGAGCCAGCCCCAGTGTCCACCCTCCCCCCACCGTGCCCATCCTGGACCCAGTTCCCTACTCAGACCGCTGCCCTGTGAGGACAGGCACCCTGGCACCCCCTTAGCAGCAGTAACAGCCAACAGAAGGAGGGCCCACCCTCACGCCTGCTAGAACAGGGCCTGGCAGGAAGTAGCACAGAAGGCAGCCACAGCTTTCAGAGTTTACTCTCGCTGAGGGTAAAAGGCAAACCCTCTTTACCTTCTGTTTTCACCCCAAGAGGGTTCACTGGAGCAGCTCACCATGTATGCCGATGCGGGCTGGGACAGTTTCAAGAAATTACACACTCTCTTTAAATTCCGAGAGCTCCAGCTTTACCTGCCTGCGTGGTTAACAGGGGTGATTTGCCCCCTTCCGGCCCCAGCCCCCGCCCTCTCTGTCCTGTGTCTTGCCGCCTCCTCGCCCATGGCCGCCCTTGGCAGAGAAAAGGCCACGAGCCCAGTGTGGAGGCGGCTGCCTGCCCCACCGCCCTGGGAACCAAGGAGGCAGAGCCCGGCCGCCCGCCTAGAGGCCTAGGGCAGGCCACAGCTTGCTAGGCCCCAGCAAACCCTCTCCGAGTTCAGTGCTAATTCCAGTTTTTCTTGTTTGAGGGGGCCAAACCTCAGCCTCCCCCTTTGCCCCCAGAACAGATCCCAGGATGAGCAGGGGAGGGACACCCCTCCTGCCCTCTCTCCTCCCTGTCCCCTCTCCCTGCCCCATATCCCGGGGTTTCCTCTTTCAAAGCTGTCAGTCTACTAAAGGGCACCCCTCCCACTGTAGATCCTGAGGTCCAGGGCAGACTTTGCTGGGACAGGACGGATCCAACCAAAGCTAACCCGAGGAAAGGAATGGGGCCAGTGGGGCCCCCAGTGGGGCCCCCCGGGAGACAGAGCAGCCAGCCAAGGGGAGGGGGTGGTGTGGGGTAAACTTGCCCAGCATGCACTCTGGGCCTGGCCAGAGAGGCGCCTGGGGAAGAGCTGCTCTTTGCCACCCACTGCTTCCTGCAGGGCCCCCATGGTTCCCCTCCTGACTGCAGCCTTCCTGAAGAGCCACTCCAAGAGCCTGGCACTGAACACACCCCAAGTATTACTGGATGCCCGCTGTGTGCCAGAGCCTGGGCCGAGGATGGGTCACCCAGCTGGGAACAGGAGGACTTGGCTCCTGCTCTCCAGAGCTCACAGTTTGTGGCGCCAAGATGGGTTTTCAGGGTGACAAGTGCAATAAAGAGAAGCTCACAGTGTGAACAGAGGCCACCAGGGAAGGCTTCCTGGAGGCAGCAGTTTGATCTAAGACCTGGTCATGGACCCAATCCAACACACCTAGATGCCCCTGCCTTGTACTTTTTCACGAGAGGTAGCAGGGGCCTCACCCCTCAGTGGGCCGTCTGAGCCTGGTGGCCCCTTGAGAGCACTGTTCAGGGGAACCAGCCTCCAGGGAGGAAGCAAAGGTAGAAGGGAGAGAGGGAGGCACACCTTCTTTGCTGCCAGATGCCTCCCAATGGTTTAGCTCTGGCTGTCGTGGATGTCACCCTTATCTCCTGGATCTCCTGGGAATTTGTGAACGTGGGGTTTGGCCCTGACACCTGTGATGAGCCACTCGGACTGGTGAGGAGTGTCTGCCCCTCCCAGGTCTTCCGCCCCCTCCTTCCCAGGCACAAACCTGCCAGGCCTCCTCTAGACGCTGCTGATTTCATGGGAGGAGAGGGGGGCCGGGGGGGAGAGAAAGAGGGAGGCCGGTCAAGGGAGAGGAGAAACCCCGAGGTTGCTCCTCAGCAGACTTTCTGCACACACGGGGTAGGGTCCCTTGCCTGGACGGCGGCGCTGGTGGTGGAGGTGGCGCTATTGCGTCCGTTTAGTTCCTATGCTGGTGGGTGGGGGAAGGGCTTTCTCTTCTTTTCCTTAAATAGAACTAAACCGCTAGCACCTTTGAAAGATCTTTCTGGTCTCTGTGAGAGATTATGCTATCTCCCTTCTCTTGACGCGCCCCCCCCCTCCCCTCCCCCAATCCCTCTCTGTGGATGGAGCATTTGACGTAAGCAGAGACATAGGAAAGATACCAATTCACTATCAAAGCATCCTAGCCCCATCCCAGAGCAATTAAAAAGCCAGATGGAATCTCTGGGAAAACGGCATTAATAACGCGAACAATCTGTGCAGGCCGGCAGGGACCCAGGAGCTGCAGGCGGGGTAGGAAGGAGGCCGGGGTTCAAGAGCGTGAGCTCGCAGCAATGCTTCAGCCACGTCGTGGCCAGCCCGGGATGGGGCCATCACAAGGGCATGCCTAGATCTGGCCACAGCTGGGCTATCCCCTCCAGCCCCCTGCAAGGCCCACTGTGCATCCTCAATCCTGGTCGCTGCAGACAGAGCCAGACAAATGTGGAACCCATTACTCAGGCAGCCACAGCCTCAGCCAGCCCCATTCTGGCACCCAAGAGCTTTGCTTCCCTTCACTTTTGTTTTTATTTATTATTTTTCTAGCCTTCTGGCCCCACCCACTAGGAGCAGGACTCCGTGCGTGACAGCTTCCAAAGATGCCCTTTCTCTTTATTCACTGCGCCCAAGCCCACTGCCCACGCCTGACAACAGCAGAAGGTTGTGTCGGGAACCCCGTGGGGCCTAAGCCCCGGGAGCTCCCCTTTGATTTCAGAGAGGGTGGGCACTTGGGGCAAGAAGAGTAGCTAAGCTCTCAGAAGCAGGCATGACTGATAGGGGAGCAGGGCACAGGGGTTCACACTGCCTGGCTGCCATGAGAAGCCCAGAGGGGCTGGGCAAAGACCACAGGAAAAGAATCTTCTGCTGTTCTGAAGACTTTTCTAGGCAGAACCAAGAAGTAGGACCTTTCCTTATCCCCATTTTCCAGACCATAGTTGGAGGCCCACCTGAGGTGGGCTTAAAGAGGTAGTTTTCTTACACCCATCAAGTTGGGATGGAAATTGGTTTGTTAAAAAAAAAA